TTTTAATAGTACATTATCAGCACTGTTAACTTGCTTGTTTTTAGCAAGTTCGATTTTGACAGATTTTTGTAAAGTACTTTCGGATGTTTCGTATGATTTATGTAGAATCCATGATGCAGGATACAGGGATATATTCATGCAGATTTTCATAGTAGTGATATTTTGCCAGATGAAGTCAATACTCTGAGAACTTATATATCAGATCTTGGACAATCCAGAAAGAACGATGAAAATGATTTAGAAGTATCTGGGGTGTACTGCCGTTTGTTGCCTCAGAGGTTCTGAAAAGAAAACCTATCACTCAAGCCGTTGATATCTATGGATTTGGGGTCATGATGGTCGAGATGTCTACCCATCAAAGGCCTTTGGATGGCTTACATTCGATACTTATCTCGCGATAAAGATTTTTAACGGACTGCGACCCGAATTCGCTCCTGGGACTTCAGACTGTTATGTTGAACTCGCAAATGAATGTATGGATCCTAATTCGCAAAAATGGCCTACAACTTACTATATTAAAAATAAAATTCATGGTGTCGTAGCATGGATCATATATGCATAGATGAAATCAAAAAGTAATTCTTAGATGCTGATAGAATTGGCAGAAATTACAGACTGTTGGCAAAAAACACCCGGATCACATGTATACGCGTAAGTTCTTCAACGCGCAAGAAATTGCCAAAATGTTATCTAAAGATTAATGGACCTAAAAGAAATTCCTGATGACGTATATTTTTTTTGATTTATTTAGTATCGAACTTCATTATAACTTGATACTTTTTTGACAAATGAAACGATATTTAGTAAAATACAGTAAATAAATTGATCGAGTAATAGTTCCGCATAATTTGAACTAGTAACTGGACTCGTGTTAATTCATAATTCGCGAATTAAATTCCGAAGAGTGCTCGAATCATTCGAATAATATTTTTCGAGTTTATTTGAGTTATTCGAGTCACAACAATTAATTTATTGAAAGTTTTGTAAATTGCGAGTTACAAAAGCAAATATACTTTGAATAATTACGCAAAACAAATATAATTCAAATTACATTTATTATCACGGATTATAAGTTATGAAAACAAGTAGCATATTAATTGTCAACTTGAAATAATGTATCAAGCAAATTCATGTTTCTTTTTAAAAATAGCATCTCACCCACCAATTCTGGATCAAGGTTTTGCTTTTGCTGTAATAGTACTTTGACTAATTTCTTCTGTATAGGATTCCTCCTGCGTCATATTTGTATAGATGGAAATGTCTTATTAAATATAGCAATTATATTAGTTTATTTAAATTTCAGTGGAAACAGAATTTACAGTCAGAACTCCATAAATGCACGAACTAAGCATTCTCTGGTCCCAACTCATAAGAGCTATATATAATTCCTACTCTATAAATGCACATACTCTCTAAGTGTATTATTTCCAAATTTTTCTTATAGTTCTGATAGCAGTGTATTTATGAAGTTCTGACTGTATATTATCGTTATTAAAAAGTGATTTATATTGTTTTAATTTGGCAAAATCCCTAACTATATAAAACTAGAAAACCTTTTTTACTTCATTTAAAAGTAAAAAACTTTAGCTTAGTAAAATTTTCTTTAAATTTCAAAAGATTATTTTAACCAATTATATAGTTGAATTAGATAGAAAACATAGTAAAAAATTATTCAACTTTAGAAAAGATTTTATTTAAACTACTACTGTAGTAGTTAAACAAAACTTCTATCTATATATAAAATTTGGTATATCAACTCATTTAACCTACGTATAAGCAACAGCAATTATTAGAACATGTCCTATAACTGTTATAGTATAATTATAGTATAATGAATCAATTAAACGCGACAATTTAAGTTGTCTTTTATTTGTAAAATTTATTCTTCGTAATCCCAACTAACAAAGAAACATGAATATAATATAGGCTAATAATTTGAAGTTGAGAGACATAAGGCTTATAGATTTCTTGAGAAGAGTTAAAGCGAAATTAAATTAAATTGTATTTCTGTTTCTGATTATTTTTTTTACTAGTGTTTTAGAACAGGGTTAAACATTATTGTATTCTTTTGTTTATATTTTTTTTTTATTTTCTTTTTCTTGATTTGCACATTAATACGTTAGGGTTCTTTAATAAACTTGGTTTGTCGGAATTTTATCTACTACAGGATTATGGTTTTAGGTTTAAATTTATAGAGATTTCATATTAAAGACTTCTACCAGTATTAATTTAGTCAAATATTATTTTATACATATATATATCAATTATTATAAAACGCACCTATGGTGGTTTTGCACCTATTATGTTTTTATTATGTTTTTTAAAATTTTCTAAGTTTTTATAAGTTTTGTATATAAAATTTTTAACACCAATTTTTAACGTTAAAGTTAATATTAAGGTTAAGATTAGGGTTTGGGAAGGTTTTTTGGGGCGTAGAACATTTTTCTTAGAACATCTCACACCGATTAATTAGCCAGTTTTTGAGATAATGTACATATAGGTGTAAAACACCATAGGTGCGTTTTAGTAAAATTCATATATATTGGTCTTTTTATTCGTGACAATTTTGTTGAAGTTTAAATTTTCGATTAACCAATAAAATTTTTACGATGCCACGGGATGATCTACCTTTAATATACTATTTCTGATTGGATAAGGGTGTCCGTTTCGAAAAAAGTATTTTTATCCGAATATTATAACCAAAACTTTCAGCAATGACCACGATGGAGGTTAATATGGATATAGTGCCCGACAGCGAAGCAGCTACACAGCCACAAGGCTCCTCCGTGGTATCAACTGCACCTAACAATTCTGGTTTAATGGTCTCTTTGTAAGAAGACTTTGTTTCTTTGCTTCTAAAGGCTTTTAATTACCTCTAATCGTAAGATTTGCTGTGCTTTGCGTAGGCACCCTTTGACGCTATTAAACATATCAGATCATTTCACACGTATCAAGATGCAACAACAGATTCAGAATCCACAAGGTATAGATAGATATATGATAGATAGTACTTATTATATTTGCTCTGACTTAAAGATAATTTTCATTACTAGATCTGTAATTTTATTTTATATAGTTATTGGTGCTCTTGTTGGCATTCAAACTGGTCGTGATGTTGAAATCTCCAATTCCTATGAGTTAGATTTTGATACTATTGATGGGAAGGTCCAAATTAATCATGAATATTTTATAACAAAACAAGAACAATGTATGTATTTCTTTTGATTAATATAACCTCTTAACGATTAAAAAAAAGATATATCGTTTTATTCATTCGACACATTTTGATTCGTTGACGCGTGAATTATAGTCCGTCAGGTTTTTCCACAATTTGATTTCCTAGGATGGTACACTATGGGTCCTTCTCCAACCGAAGCTGACATCGAAATTCATAAGCAGGCACTTATAACTAACGTATTTTTGATAGCCATGATCGTGAACTCAAATAACACCTTTTTTTAAAAAAAAAAAATTATTAGATGATAGAGTTTAATGAAAGCCCTCTTTTCCTTCAAATGAATCCATTTGAAATGGTCACATCAAAAAACCTTCCGATTACCGTTTATGAATCGATAATTGATATAATTGATGGACAAGCTCACACTTTATTCATTAAGTCACAGTATAAGATTGAGACTGGAGAGGCTGAACGCATCGCTGTCGATCATGTTGCACATACAACTCTTGGAGAGGGAGGCGAAGGTTCTTCTCGTAAGTGACATGTTGTTTTGTTTTTATAATTCTTTCCGTATTAGTTGACATATTAATATTTTTATAACGACAGTTATCGCGCATTTGACTACTCAAAGGAACGCAATTCAAATGCTGCATACTAGAATAAAGCTACTTCATCAATATCTCGATCTGACGAATAGCAGTGAGTATATCGCCATTATCTAATTCTGAATTGATGGTTATGATGATCATTAATCTATCACTGTTTGTTTATATAGAGAAAATGCCAGTCGATCACGATATTCTTCGTCAAATTGCTGGTCTTTGTAATCGCATGCCAACCATTGACAGTGCTGATTTTAAACAAGAATTTCTCACGGTTTATATTTATTATTTATTTTGATGTAAAGAAATTTTTTTTTTGAGAATTCAGTTGTCCATAACAATTATTAATTTTATGTGGTAGGAATATAACGATGTTTTATTGACGACGTATTTGGCAACCATAACTAAAGGCACTAATTCTATAAATGAGGTAAAATTTGTTTTTATACAATGAAGTTGACCTATATTGCGAAAGATATTAAATTTTTCTTAAATATCTTGACATTAGCTTGTAGACAAGTTCAATATTGCAAACAGTACCAACAGACCTGGAGGACGAGGCCGTCACCAACAGCATCAAGGATTTCCTAATTTCTGAACCAATAATTATTTACTAGCCCCACACGTGTCATTTAACTTCAAAATAATAAAATATAATACTATCTATTCACTTAGCAAATTATATATGGGAATAGTAACAAAATAAACATGTATTTATGACATAGCACTTATACATTCAAATTTGCCTATGTAAATTGATAGTGTTAATAAATTAACCACCACGTTGGTTAGTTATACCTTGTTATATCATAATTATTTCAAATATACTATATACAGTATCTTTTTTGATTAATATTTAATATAGTCCTTTGCGATATTTACCCTATGACAAGACCATAGGAAAACTTTCGTATTTAAGTCTATTTAATTTTACATTAATTATACAGTTTAAAGTACTTTTTAAAAAAAATAAACCTACGAATAAACAAAGAAGCATACAGTATAAAAAGTTTTATTAGGGTTGGTTTTAGAGAGGTTAACATAGTAGCAACCTCTTAAAGATCATGCTAACTTCTCTAAAACAAAAAAGGGATTTGATTATTTTTAATAATGGAGTCCTACCAGTGATGCCATGTTTTGGGCTTTATCGCATGATAAAACTGATTTTAACAAACTAAATGATATAACGATAACTAAAATATAATTATGTTAAAATATTAATCGTCACTCGATGTCCTTAGATAACTGCTATCTTGGGTTTATCGCTATTACTATAAAATAAAACTATGTATATTAACAATTCTTATCATATTGGTAATAATCTAATTGCTATTGCGACATTGGTGATTGTTTAGTTTATTTTTCAATTAATAAAAAATCTAATTCTGATGCAGAACATTACGAATTTATGAAATTAAACTAAAATTCGGTCACTATGTCCAAGCATTTGACCCTCTCATTAGATAGAAATTTATTATGATGATGCACCCTAACTCGAAGACGGTAGTTATTTCATAAGTTCGCCACGATGAATATTGATGAACAAGTGAAAAATACTATGCTATTCTATACAACTATTGCTATTGTTCTAATCATTGGTAAAAAAAAAGAATACTGATTATAATAATGACTAGGGATGGGTTCGACTACAAACGGCTACAATTATTCATAGCCAATTTGCTAAATACTGAGATGATTTTTTGT